CGTATATTCTGTACTGTATCTTCTATATCTTTGGATATACATATAGATATGCATTGCTCAAAATATTATATGAGTATTAATTGTTGGTATTAACAAATAATATACTTCGTACTATTTAATAATACTACTTAATGAAGTACACGTATGTCTATAGCTGCTTCATTCCATGGAATTTATTAGTTCAGTCTTTCGGCATACGAATTATAAATTCATTACTGTACGAAAGTACCACTTATTGGCTTTTTATACATTTTTGTTGACATCTTTCTCCTGGATTGCATTCTCTTAAAAATTACAGGGTTAAAGTACCTTTCCAAGCTTATGATCACATAACTTCAATGAAAAGGAATATAAATATAGATTATATAGATTAAAGTAGATTTAATAGAAAAAGTTTGAAAATATAGAAATAATTTAAACAGCGAAACAACTTACTAACTAAATACAAAAGTAAAATCTGATAGAATAAGATCTGAATAACACGTTAATGATAAAGTTCCAGTGAAATACTCACGTAAACATACACCCAAACCCAAACGAACAATTGCGTACCTGCAAAGATTCTTGAATGCACCTTAAAGCGAATCCAATAACTACAATACCAAGCAAAAGTAGTTGCTGTTTGTGATATGTGTGTCTGCTAACCCTATCAGTGATCTAATTGAAATCGAACTACTCAGAGAAGAAGAGCAAATTTCTCATAAATCTAAAAAGATCGAATTTGAAAACAATGATTAAAGTGATAACCGATAACTGTCTTTTAAATAAGCAGTAGTACAGTTGGGACTTTCGACAACCAACGAATGCAATTCCAACGAAAGAAATTCTTCGAGAATTTCCTGCTCTTATAAAAGATGAACTTCACTTATATAGGAAAAGAATTTTCCACAAAGCATTGATTCACAAATCAGAGTGGTCAAACATCGTTTTGGAAAAGATTAATACTTTACCACCGGGCATAGCTAAAGTTTTAGAAATTATTCGGTAATATGAATACTGCAGTATACAGTAGTTCATTAATGGACGTAGTGCCATGAATAACTTATACTAATTATAATATTGCTTTACTTTATATTGTATATTAATTCGCTTCCGAGTAGAGTGATTATTTGTCGACAGGCTGAGGTATGAGCTATGGAACATGTGAAGCAATAGTCATCGACAAGTACCAAGAAATAACACAACCAACTTTTGTTCAAACTTGGGCCAAAAAATATACATATATAAAGTGAGCATTAGTTGCAAATATCAGTGATAGAGATAAAAAGTGATAAAAAAAGTTGAATCTGCAGATATGATTTTATGTTTATTGTATGCCATTTTTGATACAATTTCTGACAAAACTACATGTGTGTGCTTTGAGTTGTTATCAATACATATAGATATTTTATAAAAAGCGTATAACGAAAGCGTATATAATTATTAATTTATTAGTAGAAAAATTATACTCGCTATTACCTTATTTAATACATTTACATGTTGAACATGTAAATTAATATATAAAAGATGTACTCGTATATATGTACATATGTAGGTATGTTATTTAATTGAAATGAAATATTTAATAGAATTCAGAAGAATTCAGTTTTAGTTGGATTAGCATTTCGACTTTCGCACCCCATTTACCAGAGACACTTGTACTATACTCGTATGTTATGCTTCGGTCACTGCGATGGTTTTGGTAATGCAAAACATTGTTGGGTGCTTGGATTGCAATCAGATCAGATCGCGTTGCTTGCGCAAGTATTTCTATTCGTTCGTCAGTGATACTCGCACGGATTGTCAGTTTACAAAATTTTCTGCCGACGCCAGTAACATTGTAATGAATGCAATCATTTTTTATTGTTTATTTAGATACAATTTTTGGTTTTTTTGGTTGTGGCTAACTACAATTGCGGTGTTAATTTTGTCAGCTCGGCTACTGTCAGGCATTGAGCACGTGCTAAGCAAATGAACGACGCGATTTGTTTAAATAATTTTAGTTTTTCTTGCTGATATTTAGCTGTATTGAGATACATTTCTGGTACACAAATGTTCGTTTGTGTTTTTTTGTTTTTTTTTTTTTTTGTTTTTGCGATAAAATAATTTAAAACATATCTTTGGGGATTCTATGGTTCTATGTAGGGGACACATGGACGTTGATGACGCTTGAATTGTTGCAAAAAACAAAAAAAATAAAATTTAATTTATTGTTTATAAAATACAATATTTAGTTTGTTCGTGTTTTTATTATGAACAATAAAAAATCAGAAAAATAGAACAAATGCTTAAAAAATTAATTGGATCAAGGCTGTGAATAATATCAGACTTAAAAGTATTTTTTGTATTAAATTAAAATATTATCAATGCATGATGCTGTATACTTTCCATGTACCTTCTTTTTACCTCTGGTTAATATACTATACATATCCATAAATATGTATGCATATTATATTGCTGCCTTTGGTCGAAACCAGGAATCTAATAGTTATGTGTAATTAAATATATTATAGAGTAAAAAATATTTATATAGACAAAAATTAAATAAAAATTAAAATATGTTGAAAAATCAATAGCAAACTTTTCTGCATTGTATGATTTTGTGTTTAGTTAGATAGATAGGAACAATTTGGAAGATTTAGATTTTTCATAAAATTACTAAAAAAGTGAATAAATATACGAGTACATACATGATTTACATCTAGTTTTATAATAAATGAAATATTTTGCATCATATTAAGTTTTCGAAAACTTGATCCAATTATTCAATTTTTGTTCCAGCAACTCAAATATGTACACATTTTCAAATAGCAAATAATATAATAGTACAATTTTAAATAATTGATAATGATACTGCATAGGTTAGTTTAGCTTATACCGGCAATTCCTAGTGGATCCGCGTAGGCCTATTGGACTATTGTGTTATCGTGTATGTAGAAAAATTCAGGGTTTAAAACTACCTAGAACCTTTGGCCTAAAATGCTATTGAGTGTCAGATGTAGAAATTGATCAAGATCCTTAAGAAGGAGGGGCTACTAAAGTGTTGAGTCGCCGCCGTGCATGAGCGGGGCAAAAACATAGATCAGAGGCAGAGCCACAGCTGCAACAGATTTGATTGAAAGGGAGACCTTATCTTCTAGCATGGTTCCATAGTTTACAGATTTGCTAACACATAAATTGTATATGTTTTAACTGAATTTTATATCAATTATTTTATAAATTCGCTAGAATATTTGTAGTTATATAATAAAATATTATTTATTTATTAATATATAAAGAAATAAAATGCTAACTTCAACTTAATGAATAAAAGCTATTACATTATTTTTCTGTATGAAGCACTATATTATAATATAAATGTAATAATTAAACTTTTTAAAAGTTAAGGAGGTCTAAGAGTAATAGGATCTTGTCCGGAATCACTCATCATCGGCAATTTCCGATTTGATGAATTATGCAATCAGAGTTAGGTTAGATGACTGTGGTTGTAATGTCGTAAGGAAATGAAAACTGTCTCAGCTCAAAAATTTTTAGTTTATTTTTTACCCGCCCATTTTAATATGTAAAAAAAGTTTGCTTTAACTGTAAGCAGTTGCAGTAGATTTAATAAATCTGAATATAAGGTAACGTTATCATATAACTTTCTACACTCTCTGGTATTACAAAGTATATGAAAACTTAAGATAATATATAATTTATTTTGAAATAAAGCATATGACCTTAGTATACCTTGTTAAAATTTGTTCATATCTGCGTTCTGCATTCTCTTTTTCCTGCTATTGGTAAAACCAATAAAATCGCTTCAAAGTTACCACAGCAGTCATTGAACTGAGTTAATCAGTAAATTACTTTGTTTTCAATTTTACAAGCTCTTATGTATGAAATAAGTAAATAGTTACTAATTATTTTATTATTATAGATTAGATAAAAAAGCTTCATTTATTTTATGTGCAACCACTTAAATCATCGTAACTTAATAAAAACAAAGTTGACGTTGGGAAAAAATATTTATTAAAAAATGTTTACGTATGGATTACGTGTGCACTTTTACTACTTGCAAAGGATGGGTAATTTTAACCCCTTAGTTACACAATACCGGCTAAAGTGATATTATTAACAACCACATATGTAGTTTAAATGTTAGCGATTTCAATTTATTTTTATTTTTTATTTTAATAATTTAATATTAATGCTCTGTGAGAAGATATCAGTTTTATTACTTTGTTTTTTTTTTAATTCTATAACACAAAATTTATTAAACTCTTGCCATATTTATTTGAATATCCAATTTATTTCTAGAACAGTCAGGTATTCAGGTATCTACACGACAACTTTAAGAGATATAAGCAATGATTCCTTTGATTCCTATACTACATATAATTTGTATTATAGTGTTTTTTCTTAAAGAATTACCTATCAAATACATTTATTTGATAGGTTAAAAATATTCTAAATAAGCTGGCATATTGATACATGATTACCATTCTTTGATTCTATTAAATCGAAGAAGACTGACATGATAGTCTTCTAAATAGGTAGCTTCAAATATTTATATCTATACCATTTTTAAAGTAAGGAGCAGCCATTAGATTTATATTTATTAAATTCTAACTGAATTATTATTTAAAATTACCATTAAACTCTACTGATTTGCTTTTGACTTGGTAATGCACAATTGTTGGTAGGCAGGATGCTATTTATGTAGAGACAACACATTACATTATATGTAGAGACATTGCACATTATATATATGTAATACATACGAGTGTGCACAAAATGTTCAAAATAAAATAATAAAAATTAATTACGGCTCATATATATATATAGCTAATTGTTATTGATTCTTATTCTGTAAAATTAAAAGAATTTCAGTAATTACCTTTTTATCTAACTATTCAGTTATTGTGTGTATAATATTAGTTCAGATGTAGTTAATTAGTATATATAATATTTATATAAATAAAAAAGTTGCAGCCATAAAATAAGTTTATTTATTTATTTATTTTTTTTTTTTTTTGCAGTCAATTGGCCCCATTCCAGATCTTAATATTAGTACCATTAGTCAACGTGATCTTATCTACAGCCTAACGCTGGATATTCCTCAACCGCAAAGTACGCAGTCTTGGCAAATAAGTATTTGTATCAACTGCAACTCGGTTCTGTGTGCGAAACGAGTACAAACAGCTGGTGGTCCTGGAGCACAATTTCTGCTCAACTCAACGTTGTTAACTAACTTCGATGAAATAGTACAACGTCGGAGCGATAAATCATTTTCTGATACTTTTCGTATACTTATAATAGATCATCCACAAAATGAAGATACCCCTACAACACCCCCTATTAATTTTTCAATCGGTTCCTTAAAATCTAATATGAATACAACGCCTGATACCAAACAACAACGCTTACGTCAGCTACAACAATATTTACAACAACGCCAAAAACTGGAAATAGCTGAAACTGACGAAAGAATTCGCAGATACACAGAGCAACAATTTGCCTTACTCAAAAGTTTCCGCGAGAAATCAGAACAAGAATATGATTTATTGGCGCGTCTTATTCAGCGTGTATCTGAGCAACAAGCATATGAGTGGTTAGATCGCGCTCCACCTGCTTTAGATATTACCGTTGGTGGTGTAAATTATGCATCAATACGACGTAATACTATTGGTAGTAGACGTGAATTAAATGTCACAGCACCTACTACACCTACAACGCCGAATCCACCGATATCAAATATATCAGCATTATCTACAACTGCGCAAGCTTCTAATACCAAAACAAGTGCCATAGAGACGAATAATCAGCAGGGAAGTGCTACAGTTGTAATGGCTGGTACAATGACAACGGTGGGAGCGGTGGGAGCACCACAATTTCCCACCGTACGAAAAATGTCTAATTTTGATACACCACCCGCCACTCCAGAAGCCATGCCAATGAGTGTGGGTAATAGTCCCACCTTTAGGCCACAACAACAGCAACCACTTTTATTGCCATTGGGTAGGCTATCGAACAGTCATTCTTTTCAGCAGCAGTTTCCCACACCAACTGCGGACGTAACTGATGATTGTTTCTTCGAGCTTGAAGGCTTCGATAATAATATATCAGAATCAACAAATGGTTATAATCATTTGTCTTACTTTTCCAATAACCCGCCACAACATCCTGCATTACAACATCAGTTACCATTTCAGCGCAGTCTGAGCATACATCATGACCATCACATGAGTGACTTGAAAGAAAGTGACAGTGCTGAAGAAGCTGAAGGTAAGTAAATGATTTTAGAAATACCATATAATAATACATTTTTAAGAAATATTAGAAAAAAAGAATAGAATGCAAGCTCCATTTATTTTTTCATCCACAAGACAGTGTTTAGTGGTAATAACTTTTCAAAATCACATACGAGCATATAAAATAAAAAATAACTCAAATTTTGAACGAGGATTAATAAAAATATACAGTTCTGAACTGAACAAATGTTTATTTAAAGAATCGATTAAACCCCTACTAAAATGATAGGTTACGAACTCTTGGCAATTACATCAAGAATACTACATTAAATTATTTATGGTCAGCATTAAAGCTGCATCTGCGAAAATTTTTAAAACCAACAAAGATATAGAAAAAATATATAAGCAATAAAAAAAATATATATTATATTTACTATATAATTTTAGTGAAAAGATTGATAAAAAAACTAACTAATAACGTGCAACGTTGGTACCGCTTGGGTGTTGTTCAACCTTAATGAGTGGAACAAATGTAAAGCTGTAGAATTTGATACGCGTAAATGTACTAGCAATGCACTGAGGGCATGGGTTCATAATCACTACGGTGGATATGGGCCCATGAGGGTGATGGAGCTCCAATCAGCCAATTTGGCGACTGGAAGTCTGCATTATTCAATAATGACTGTAACCCATGTTGTTCTGTAATTTTACTTATAATTTTTAGATTACAAAATTTCTAAATATACCTTTAATAAAAATGATGTTTTTAAATTATTAATGAATTTTATTTCATTTATTTTTAGATGCTTTGGATTTGGATAGTTCCATGCCGATACCAATGAGTAATGGAGATCGCCAAGATAATTCAAATTTGCTAAATTTCGGTAAAAGCTTACCAATCGAAATTTCTAATGCAGTTCGGATTGAAAGGTCATACATACAGGAATCTGACGATGATGTAAGAACTAATATTGTATATATGGTATTTTAATGTATAATACAATTTGTAATTTTTAGGAACTGGACAATACTGTGGATATTGCAGCTAGCATCAAGGCTTTAGCTAAAAGTGTACATGGGGAGGCCGTGTTTGGAGATTTACCACGTCCACGTTTGCGTTCGCAAATTTAAAATGTGTTTTGAACTATAATAGTTTGCTCAAATATTGCAAAAGATAAATAAAAATGTTAGAATTTTTAAGAAAATTTTCTTTTGCACTCATTAAAATTCGATGATCTTAGTGATTTAAAATGAAAGGAACTCTGAAAATTTAAATTAACAAATGATACATAATTAAAATTTTTAACAATTAATTTTGTTAAATACTATTTCTTTTGAAATAAGTCTTAAATTAATAACGCATTCTTATACTGACTAAATATTATACGTGAAATAAAATACGTATCCATGATTTACATATATGTAACGCACAAATAAATCATACAACACTATATGCATAAACTCATACTTAATGTACATGGTTACTAAATTTATTCACCAAAAGATTAATTGTTTGCTTTTAAATTAGTAATTCTTTAACAATATTTATATCATAAAGTATGTTACAGTCTATATAATTTTAACGAAAAAGTTTCAACTAAAGCAGTTTTTTTCTATTTGCCTTTTTGACGAAAACAAAGTATAAACTTTTTACTGAATGTCCTTAATTATTTGTGGTTCAAACTATTGAATTAAATAAATATATAGACCTGGTATATTAAATAAAATTGCTTAATAACAAGAACTCAATTTTTGTATAAGAGAAAATATATGTATTAAGAACAATGAATTTTATAAAAACAATATCTCCTTATGTCGATATATACAGCATATATTAGCATACATGAAATATTTTATATAATAGATGTATTAAGTAAGTTAATGTCATTTTATTTGCTGTTAAATAAATAATTTTTATATGCAATGAAAATTTCTAAAATTTCTTAAGAAAGCTGATGTACAATAATAATGATTCTGAAACTACTACTTAACATTAAAAGGAGTATTAAATACTCTCTAGGGTATACACGCATTAAACAATAATGATAACCAATAACATATAGAGCCAGTTTTATTTTGCAACAATTTTATCATCTTTTTGTGGTGATATTTGAAGTTTCCATATCCAGTAATCTATGCAATGAGATCAACCTTTTATCGCTTCACAGACCATCTGTTTCGGCATCATGAGGTTAGCCTGTCTATAAGTGATCTCCACTTGTTAAGATGAAGTTAAACTATCAACTTATCGACATAGGACGCAGTCCTGTTGTAGTCCAATGGTATTCAGAGCTTTGAGCGGCAGAAGTTATAGCATAATTCTTGCCTAGCAAGTTCATTTGCCCTTTTGTTCTATCTTTTAACCTTTTTTTATATATTACGTTTATTATAATGATTTAATGTTTAATTTAATGTTTAAAAATTAACACGACTTTTAACGAATTTTTAAAATAGTTACATAACTTCAATTTTTAACGCACTTTCAATTCTCCCTTCATTCTATGAAGCAACGTGTCGCAAACTAGATCTATCTGCAGTTACTCTCCTAAATATTCTTATAATTTTTTTATGGTATTTCTAGATTACCCACATAATTATAACAGTAAAAACAACTCTTAATTAGCAGAATGTATTCCTAATATGGCCCGAACTGCAGCTCTACCCACCATATTTCGGCTCATCTGCTTTCATGTCCCGACACATACACTGACTTGAGTCCAATTAATCTTCGACCCTGTTTTATTGAAGTGGTCAGATTTCTCGACTTTGACACAGATTGACTTTAATTCAAATTTCATCCAACTCCAATCCATTATTGCTTCTAAACTGTCCCCTCTCCTTTCACATTACCTTTACCTTACCACACCCCAACCCATGTACATATTGTTGTTATTATTTTCATGTTATCTGCTCTATAGATATTTGTAGAATATAATAACAATAACATAATGTACAGAATCCGTCTAGTCGATATAATGAATTTTATATCACTGGTTTACAAATTATATTTTTTAAGTCTATAAACTCGCCAAATATATTACTTTTAAAGTAGTACTGCAGAATTTTTTGTAGAAAAAATATGGAATATGGAAAAAGTTTGACCATTTTCTCAAAATTTTCCGAAATATTATATTGGAATGTTTAATGAAGCGTAAATACATATATATATTAGAAAATGTATTTAAAAAGTACCAGAAATATCTTAAACGTTCGTATTTATATTTAGTATCAGTAAAGTCCAATTAGTAACATTGTGAGCAGCGCTCTGATTAGCTTAGAACTAACCATCTAATGTTAAACAATTAATCCAAAATAGTGGACTAAATCTGGGGTAATTACAAAATTTTTTTAGTAAATTTAAAACTAAACAGGTTTTAATATTTCTAATTTAATTTAATTCTTTATTGCCTGTTGTAATTGACTTCATAAATTTTATTAATTTAAACTTACTAAATATTTTGTTTACTAAAAAGTGCTTTCCGAAATAAAGATTCTTCTGAGAAGCAAATTTAAGGCACAGCTGGTAAATTTTTTTATATATTGTTTAATTAATTATATAGTTTAAAAGCTCTGCTGCATAGATTAATCTACCCAATCAGTATCATTTGATTCATCTTCTTCTTCATCGTCACTATTATTCTTCGGAGCTGGTATAAGTGCTGATAAACGCGATATAACGGAATTACTACCACCTCCTGTTGTATTTGAAGCTGATCTATCATTGTTGTTTTCCTTTTGGCCTGAAATTCCTTTTCTTCGCATAATCAGTTTATTATGCAGATCGGCCATAAGATCACCCCCAATAGGTTTAGTTTTAATAGGTTTTGTACGATTGTCAACAACATCAACAGGCGCCGCAGCAGCTGAACGCAACCGACCACCACGTGCTCCGCCTGCTTTTCGTATTGCATCCATTAATTCTGAACGAGAGTCTTCAATCACAGGCATATTTTTGTTGGAATTACCTTTAGCGCTTTTTTCTAGTGATTTACTTGCATTGAAGGATTGCGGTGGTGGCGGGGGTGGTGGTACTGGTGCCAATGAAATCACAGTCGCTGGTGGAGGTGGTGGCGGTGGCGGTGGTGGGGGTATTATGTCAATGGCACTATTAACAATTGATGTTTGTGGAATGTTGTCAATTGGCTTAATATTTTCTTCTTGCTTTTCTACATGCTCCACTAATTCTGGAAACTCAGGCAAATTTTCGATAAATAGAGAAGGTGCGATTTTCTGTTGTTCATTTTCTTCGAATTGAATGTCATTAGCAATACCAGGTAAATCGGGAAGATCTAGTGGTAAATTAATTTCAGGCGCTTCATTTAATTTTGGTGTATAACGTAGTCCACCCGATGGTGTATGTTTTACATTACGATTAGCCAATGAATGTGGCGCTGGTTCAAGTAATTGCTTTTTAGATGACATTGTTTTCGGTTGTCTTTGATTTTTTATTAATTTGGCACGCTTCCAATTGTTCCACTCATCAACGTTATCACAACCATAAACACATTCGTTGGTATTAAAAAGCAACACGGAAGACACAGACCGTAATTGTTCTGGCACTACGCCCTTGCCAAGTTTCTGATTTGTTTCCCTTTTTGCTGTTGCTAAAGACTTCGTTAATGCTTCTGATTGTTCTGTGCGTACATGAAAGAATTGCAATTTCTCATTGAGAGCTACTATAGATGCTGGATCTATACGGCTTTGCACATTGAAATCAGTACACACATCTAACGTTTCAACAGTCGATGGTGTAAATGTTACAGGAATATCATGAAACACTCGGGAAGACGGAAATCGTGCTGGTGCGCATATTTTGATGGCTTTCTTCGAGCCTACTAGACTTTTAATTTTTAGCTGTGCCTTGGTGATGCGCTCGCTTAATTCATTAACTTTGTTACTATTTTGTTGTATACGATTATCAATTTTTTCAAAAACTTTATTAATTGTAGTTTGCATGTTGTCAAGTGCATAGGCTGCTTGAATTATTGTTTCTTCATGTCTTAAATCAGGTGGTATTATTGGAACTGAATACATATTAAATATTTGTTATATTAAATATTACAAAATATATTAAAAACTAATTCACTATAAATTTATAATCAGCCAAATTTCAACAAACAAACGCTTCCCATTTGCTTCCAATTGCACAGAATGACAAATATTGTTGTTATGTTGTTTTTTCATTTGTTTTTTTTTATTTGAAAGTTTTAAAAGTATTAACTATTACACACTTTGAGAATTACTGTAGTATAAAACCATATGTGCATTTTTGTTGTTGATTTTTCCCGCTCATTTTTGACAATCGCAAAGCATTTTTAAAGTAAAGTAAACCAAAAACGCTACGATTGCATATTTTTTGTTTTATTTTGATTTTATTCAAATTTAAAGTTTGAAAAACTTTTCAAAGTCATGACCACTTTAATTGAACAAGTCATCAGCAAAATGGGAATATATGACGAACCCAACATGTTAAGGTAAGCATTTTGATCAGTTTTGTTTTTTCATCAGAAATTTGTCAATAATTGCTAATATTTGTATTTGCTCAGCAAAACAACTGAACTTGCACGTTTGTTGGAATTACGGTCTATAAATATTCCTATTAATGAATATGGAAAAATTATTATATGTGCAGATATTGCAGCGGTCATGCTGGGTATAGCATTTGACACGGTAAATATAAAATATATTAAATTGGAAAATATATAATGTTTTACAATAACGAATATTTACATGTATTTTAAATTCATGCCGTACACTGTTTGCAGGAGCAGGCTATAAAATTATCCCACTTAAAAAAAGCGCATTATATTAATAGAAAGCGTATTATAGAAAAACTTTTGGATTTGGACAAAGTAGTTGGCGTTAACGATATTTGTATTCAGTTAGGACTAAGCGAAGTATCAAAAAAGGCTAATGAACTGCATGAATTATATAAGAATATAGTAGCTAAGGAAAACCACGACATTGATATCAATCATCCACAATATGCAGCAATTGCTGTATTTCAGGCTTGTAAAATATTAAAGAAAAAACCACCGAAAACAAGACTCATGCCATATAGTAATCTAAGGCCAACACAGTGGATGCAATTAGAAAAGCGTTGGGATAGATTTATAGCAATGCAATATAAAGATTCTATTGATAAAAAAATGAAGGGCTTACACCCAGAGGAGTCTAAGCCATACAAACAGCCAGAAGTTAGTACAAGCAAATCTAATGTGTCAGTGTTGGAAGATTATGAAGTGTGGAAAGAAAGGATTCTAGAAATGGCGAGAAGCAAACTTACCTGAAGTACAAAATCATTAATAACTAATTTAAAGTTGTTCATTATTATTTATAGTTTATATTATTTATAGTTTATTTTATTTATAGTTTATATTATTTATTTATAGTTTATATTAAATGCGTTAATTAAAATTGTATTTTGAATGTTGACATATTACTGATCAAATTGTAGAAGGTTTATGCTATTATTAAGAAAACCACCTTTTGTAAAAATGAAAAGTTCTTTTAACATAAATTAATCCTTTTGTTTTTAACTGTTTGCTTAAAAATTCTTATATTGTCATTATTGCTACAAGACTGTTATGCCATAATTTACCGCTGTATGGAATTTTAACGTGAAAAACACATTCCAGTAACAAATATTTTCAACTATGCATACCATACATATCTGTAAAATATTATCAATAAATTAAAGGAGTATCTTAAGACATCTCATGTATTATGTTACCAATAGATTAAAAGGGCACCTTAGGACAGTCTCAAACAAGATATGTTTATGCTTAAGCTAAAGGTTATAAAAATTGCATTTGTGTCAATAAATTTAACATAAAAACTTTTTCAACTAAAAATTAATAATTATAAACCATTCACACTCTTAATTTCGCACTTAATTATTTTAAACCACAAAGTAAATTTAAAACCAATAGTCTTTTATGACAACACGTTTATTATGCTAAATATAAGTAATGTAATGTAATTCTAAAAGTTTATTTTTATAAAAAATGCTTAAAAAATATTTCTTAATATGTTTATATACTCTATTTTAATAAAACTTATTAAAAAACAGTCATATCAAAATATTTAAAAACTATCTTTTATGGCATCATGTGATATCAGTGAATCGTACAATTTACAACTTTCGTTTTATACTGCAATATAATTTGATTCACGATATACATGGAACTCAAGTTATTAACAAATAAACTTAGTTTAGCTTATTTTACACAAGAATTACTAATTATAGTATTTAAATGTCAATAATTATTGTTAACATTTTGAAATAAAATTGGGGATTTACACAATGTATGTTGGATTTAAAGTTTCTCTTAATATAAATACAAAAGACAATACTTACAGTTGCATTTTAATATAAATAATTACGAAAATTATATCTATTCGAGTAAAAAAAATATATTTCGTTTATGTTAAGAATTATAAAATTAAATTATAAAAACATGACTATAATAAAAAACATATTTTATATTAAATTATATTTATATATTATTTGTAAAAATAGATAAAAATGATCATAGTCTATGTTAAAGTAGCAAAGTCATACTTTAACAAAAAAAAATTTAAAAACATAGCCATTCGTTAGTTAACATTGCTTTAGCATTAAAAGACAAATATTACTCATTTAGTTAGTTAATAGTTTCTTATAAAACAGATTCGATAAATTACGTTTCTTTTTTTAGTTTCTCATGAAAATAACTTATTATCACTTCGCCCACGTCCACTTTTGAGCCATCTTCCTTATATGCTATTAAAGTAAACAAGATATTTATTAAAATAACATTAAAGAATTATTAAAACATACAGCACAATGTAAATATATTATCTTCTGAACTACTTTAGATTAACTAACAACTTTTCATATTACAAAGGATATGCATCATATAAAACGTTTGTTTTAATCAATCTAATGATCAAAATCTTAAGGATTTATTAACCTCCTATTACATAAATAATAAATACAATATATTCAAGACACATCTGAATTAATACCACAAATGTGTTAATTACGCTTTTATACGTTTTAAGATATACCATCATATTGGAGTAGAACCTTATCATATATCTAATACAAATGATATTTGAATGTAATTATTCGGATATCTGATATTATTTAAAAATTTATAAAGTATGCTCATGCTTATGCTTATACCATGGTATGCTTCTAGTTAAAGTGTATCATTAAATTAAAATGTACTATTAATTACAATACATCAAGTAATGTCAAAAAAATATCAAAAAAATAATAGTTAAGATAATTACCATTATATAATATTAGTTCAGCTTCATTTTCTGTATCTGGTCGGCTCAAAAGCAATTTTTTCAAATAAGTATAAAATTTTAATAATATTTCACGTTGCATTCTTTTCAATGAGGTTCTGGAAATATTCCTTTCCTCTTGCATTGCGTCATAAAATGATTGTAAAGGTGTTGCTCCCTCAAGAACAATATAATAGTATTTATTATTAATGGGCTTTTTTATTCGATATACATCGTTGTAAAACCTTCTTTGAACACCAGCTCGATTTTTTATTACAGGTTCCAGAGCCTGTGTATAATACAATATATAGATAATGTTATTATTCTTTTTAAAAAATTGTTAACTTACATTTGTTTTTTCTAATAATTTACTATCATCAATTTTTGGGTTTAGGTACATAGTGTTTGGTATCAATATAACCAGTTTATCACTGACAAAAGACACACTATTTTGTGCAGAGTACAATTTAATTCGTTCGCATATTCCTTCTAAAACATCTGTAACCGATGCAGCCAAAACATGTTTTAGATAGCCAAAATAATAATTACTGGCCATTCCACCAGCATAATCTAAGCTGTGAGATTTACGTATAAAACTAACTTGATCGAATTCACTTCGAAGAAGTCCCGACGCCATAGCTACCAGACATAATGGAACGTCAAATAACAGTTCTAATAAATTTAACTTACTCCAAAAGTAAACAAGTAATATTACATCTATAACAAGTATTAAAAATATGCCAATATTGATTTCAAAAACACGTAAAAATATCTGCTTAACAATATTTGGTGGATGATAATGATGCTTATAGTACAGCCACTCGTGACCCATCTTCCAGCAGAGGTTGATTAATGCAGCTACTATTAGAGAAGTGAGAAAAATACACGAATTGCCTAAAAAGTTATGGTAATTAAAATAAATGTAGTTATTTTAATAACAATGAGTGCATCTATAATTACTTATCATGTCCTCTATTCGTCCTATAACCATTTTTTATTTTCTTGTCCACGTAATTGCAAACTAAGCGAAAAATTTGAATTGTCTCATGAATCGCTACACTTTAAAGTTTTACAGTGTTTGGAAAATTTCTATCCATATTTGTAAATAAACAAAAACAGCGTTATATGACAAACAGCTGTGCGTCTAAGAATTGCAAAATATTGTTGATTGTTGAATATTACCACATTAACTCGAAATAAATGTCGAAGTAAATTCTATTTAAAACTTTAATAATAACAAAAATGAAGAGAAGAACAGTAACAAAAAAGGTATAGCTTATTAAAGTGAAATGTGCTGAACTATAATATAAATAACGCAATGTATCCTTATGAAATAGTTTGCCATCCTTTGATCTCATATAGTGTGTTCTTCGATTTTAGATTTAAATTGTTTCAATGTTGGCACTAACTGTAGCACATGAAGCATTTCCTATCCCAAGTAGAAATTGTGAACTTTGATATTAAGATATTAATGTATTGTACTTGTTTTTACTATCTGTAAATATGATTACGGTAAGTTGACAAATAATTTGCGTGTATAAATGCTTTTATATAAATTTAATACAATATCTTACTAAATTCTTTCAAAACTTATATATAATTTAATAATAATATGCATATGTACAAAATCTTATTTAGAAAAAAACTGCAACTACAAGTGCTTCCAGTCGTAAGCAATCAATTGATAGCGATGGGCAGAGAAAATATTTTTTCACCGGTCGCATACGAGAATTGGTAGAAGCATATAATGCTGCAGTACAAATAGTTTTCCCCAAATATCCTTGGTATCTATATCCAGGATATATGATTTATGCAATACATAAACGTTATTTACAATATTATAAAGGAAAGTTTCAGCTTATACCAATACCCAATGATCTATATGAACATCTAATAGATGATGAAATTATCAAGTCTGAGCATTACGTATTTGCAGCACAAGAGACCTACGATGAATTTGTAGAATACCCACCTAATGTAAATTTTGTGAATTTAACATTTAGCAGCGAAAACAAGTCAGGCATTAAAAATTCTCGAAATAAAATTGAGATCACGTCAAAGGATAATGCTGCACCCGAAACTGTTATTCAACAAATGCTGAATCAAGCACCACAAACAATTGTGGCACAAATATTACCTACTATGAACTGTCAACAAGGTTGCTTATTTGTGCAGGTAAACTATAAATTATGTTTATTTCAACTCAAAAAAATACACTAGTATTATTTTTTTGATAGGAAAACTTTTACTCAAATTTATTGGATCGATTTCGAATATCCAATGATAATAATACATCTACACGTTTATGGGTGAAACTCGAACATTTAAACGACGAACAAAATTTGCCGAATATTGCAACTAAAGCTCATATATATTTATTAAGTAATCCATATGAGTTGCCGGCCGAAGTGACGGATTTGATACTAAGCAGCTATTTCAGTACACCGCGATTACTACATCGTGGGCATACTTATCGTATAGAAATTAATGCTCAGTTGATTGGTACCGCATCCTATGCTCATTATTACTTAATATTTGCTTATTTGAAACAAATTTACTTCCGATGCGTACACCTTGAAGTGAAAGGCAACGAATTCGAAATGCATGCTGTGGTTAAAAAGAATTTAACCAATTTGACGCAAGTAAGCCCTAAACATCATTTTTTACCACGACAATTGCTAGATAACTTAGCGATTGCAGTCAATTATCCGATTGGGCTTAGGAAATCATACAAAATATTACGTTCTTCCATTGACGCGTTTTTGCCTAAAAAAACCGCGTGCCTTTCATCAAAACATATCTATCCTATTTTTTTATTACAAGGTGAACGTGGCATTGGTAAATCAAAATTGACAACTGCTGTTGCAAGAGATCTAGGAATGCATTTGTTTACAATAGATTGTGCCGAAGTTGTGTCGCAAGTTCCTTCTCACACTGAAATGAAATTGAAAACAATTTTCGCCAAAAGTCTTATCAGCGAGCCATTATTAATATGCTTTCACAATTTTGAGGTGAGTTTAAAATTAATATATAATATAGTACTTGATTGCGTTGAAATTTTACATTGAAATAATCTCTAAAGGCTTCCTGATTTATCCAGAAAATATTATATAAAGTTAGTCCTTGTAATAACAGTATATTGATGACTCGCAATAACAGACTAGATAACCATCATAAATAGGGTGATCAAAACGATATAAACAAATCAGATAGTTTAAAAATTATAACTTTTATAAAGCTTTCGTGCTATTGGTCTATGTACCATATAGTATTTTACACTGACTAATGCAGCATACTGAGAATTAGTCTATATCTATTCAAATAGGTTTTAAAGCATTTAATTAAAGTACTGTTAAATCGAAAACCTTATTTAGTCGTAGATATCTCATCGATAACTTAACAGTTTAATATTTACTAAATATGGGTTCTGTAATATATAAATAATAAAACAAAATCAAAAATACTTAATTTGTTTCGTATTGGAACTATTTCCAAATAGATAGATCCCGACTTAATTTTTATATTATGTACCTATATCCTAATTAAAATTCCTATATACTATATAATCTATTAATTTTCTATGAATTTTTAGTATTATATATTTCTTATTTTCCTATATTAATTTATTTTCTTCTCTAAGATTTTTGGTATAGACAATGAGGGCAATGAAGATCTTCGACTTTTATCATCCTTTCAAGTTCAGATCCAAGAACTTTTCGCTCATGATCGTAAACATCCAATAATAATTCTAGCACTAACTAATGATAAACAAGTAAAACCATTAATCCATCGAATATTTTTGGAAGTAATACATATTGAGCCACCAACTAAAGAAGAACGCTACGATATACTTCGTTGGTTGCATACACGTGAACTATTTAATCACTTCATATATAATGAAAATAATATAAAAAATATACCTCTTTATTCCTTAAGAGTGCAAGAACGCTATATTAAAAAATTCTGTAAAAATTGGTCAGAAATTAAGCAAATCTTACTTGAAGTGGCGGATAAATCACAAGGTTTCGTATTAGGAGATTTGGAATTATTACACGAAAATGCTATACGTTTATTGCGTCGTGAACGTTCCGGAAAATCAAAACTGTCCTATTCACACTTTTCGACGAATTTAGCGGAAATGCAATCATCTTTTGCTGATAGTCTTGGTGCACCCAAGGTGCCGAAAGTATTATGGTCAGATATTGGTGGTTTAGCTAAATTAAAGGATGAAATACAAAGCAGCATTGGTTTACCACTAAAACATGTACATTTAATGGGTAAAAACTTGAGAAGATCTGGTATACTATTATATGGCCCTCCAGGTACTGGTAAAACATTGGTTGCCAAAGCTGTTGCGACCGAATCCAATCTAAGTTTCTTATCAGTACAAGGGCCTGAGTTACTTAATATGTATGTGGGTCAAAGTGAACAAAATGTACGTGAAGTTTTCTCACGTGTGCGGTCTGCTGCACCATGTGTGCTATTTCTTGACGAATTAGACTCATTAGCACCAAATCGTGGTGTTGCTGGTGATTCAGGAGGAGTGATGGATCGTGTCGTTTCGCAATTATTGGCAGAAATGGACTGTTTGGGTGATTCAACAAAACCAATATTCATATTAGCTGCTACAAATCGACCAGATCTAATTGATCCTGCATTGCTAAGACCAGGTAGATTTGATAAACTCTTCTATGTCGGACCATGCTCTAACAGTGAAGACAAAGCGTCTGTACTACGCGCACAAACCAAAAAATTCAATTTGTCAAACGATTTTAATGTTGACGATATTGCTGAACGTTTGAAAGGTGATATGTCTGGGGCTGATTTATATTCAGTATGCTCAAATGCCTGGCTTTCAGCTGTAAGGCGTACAATTGATAAACATCTTAAAGGTTTGCTATTGGTAATAGTTTCTCATTAAACTCAAAAGTAATTAATTGTAACTTTTTATAGGTGATATTAAGACAGCTAATCTAGTTGCTGAAAATGTTGTAGTGGAAATGGATGATTTTGTTAAATCATTTGGTAAATTTATACCATCCATAAGTAAACAAGATTTGGAATACTTTAATCAATTAAAATCTTCGTATAGCGTTTAGAGAATTATAGGACAAAGTCTTATGATTTGAAATAATTTAAGAGGGGTTGGAAAATGTTTATAGTTATTGATTTGTTTCTATTTTTGAATAAAGTTATTGAAATTTTTGACCGTTTATAGTTCTTTCTATTATTGTAAGGTATATGTTATTGTATAATTGTAGTACTTTCATATAGGCTAGCGTATGATCAATAGGATACCAAAAATTGTTTTATGAAAAAAAAAAACTAAGCTTAAGTTATTATTGCTGTAACACATTTGCATTTTAGGTTTTTTTTTTGATTTGATAACAGGAATAAGTATTGCTTGAAATTTTCGAAACCACTATTTTTTCTTTGGACTGCACCACAGCTGTTTAAACGAAGATTGGAGGCATTATTGAAAGGCATGATACGATGGTTTTAGTTTATTGATGGTATTGCTACTAAAAATGTAATACTGTAGTTGTTACGGTAACCCGTGAAAATCTGCTGATATACTCTCTTTTGGAAATAGTAAATGTTTCGTCAAAATTGGTCGTCGAAACTCACGAGTGGCTTCAGAACAAAAACCCGGCCGATTTTGAAACCTATAATACTGTAATTAATTACACTGATGTGTAACTGATACTATCAACAAATGATTAGACAATAGTGAACTAATAAGATGATATAAATGTGAGTGATTTATATATAAACAAAAAGTTGTTAATAATTGCTCAATTCATAGAAAACAGTTGCTGTATTGACACAATGATTAAATCGGCTATCTATCTGAATGTATATACTGTCACTGCTCTGTTGTGATATTTGCGGTAATTCTATTGTTGAGGTTTAGCTGGGTTAGAAAAGAAATTAAAATATATATACTAAAATGAGTTATTATAGTTTTGTCTGAGATGTCGTCATGCATTATTTTATCTTGCCAACACCTATTGACTGAAGGTATTTTTATGGTAAAGCTAACTAAGTTAATATTGTGTTGATTTTCTGTCGTCGACTTATATTGAGATATCTGTGCCAGCACTGACCAGCTGTAGAATAATTTGGTAACTTATCAATCGGACGCGATGAGGATGCAGTAGTTCCTGTATTGTCAACTTCGGTACTAACTGACTACCGGAACTGGCTGACTATCACTAAACAACTCCCTTCAGAATTAGCACATGCCAACTATAATAATATATATTTAACACACTTAATTTTCGTAGTAACGAATATTTTTAATATATTTTTTTGCAATATATTCTAAAAACGTAAAAAATTGGCTACACTCACCTACATCTAAAAATATATTGGTTGGAGCCGTCCTAAGATTCAACTTAATGGTTTTTCTCAAATATCGGTCTTTAAAATTATAATCTAAATCTTTACATCGATTCGAAAACTAAACTTAAGATTGATTTGTAATTTGTAGAAATTCAAATTAAATTTATAATTCAGAATAGTACAATTGTGTAGCGATATTGTGAATAATTATCATAAACCAAAGCTAAACAAAAAACTAAAACTCTTAGTATTCTTTGATTATCGCATTTTCATTTAAGAGTGATATTACAAAAACCAAATTAATATAAATTTTGGATTTGCTATTTGAACATGTTTTTCGAGGCCATATATACAGTGCGCACTTAAGAGCCCCCTAAATGTAGTATAATTTTCGTCTTAAATGTTGATGGATTCCAAAATATTAAGACTCAAATTAAAATATCTAAAAATTGATTTGTTATATTAAACCCTCAAATTTGGCATTTGTATATGCACAATTTTGTAAGGAACCTTTTTCACCGAGGTTTAGCTCGACGGATCCCAGGTCCAGTCCTATAATAAATTTAATTGTCTGACAGGGACAGTTGAAAACTGAGAAGAAGTATGGGAGATTTAGAAATGTCTTAAATTAACCAGCGCTAGTAATGCGATTTAATCACGAGGTCGGTGTATAGCTGATTCTCGTTTAAAGAAATGTGAATTTTTTTCCTGAACCAAAAGATTTACTACAATATGTACATTTCGTAGCCGCAAAGGAAAGAACAATGTATTAGTGATAGAATCTCTACCTAACCTGTGCAGTTTACTATGAAATGTTAATTCCGTAGCCGCGAAGGAAAGAACGTATTAAAATGTATTAGTGAGAGAAATATCAATTTCTACTTCACCTGTGAAGTTTGCTATGAAATGTGAATTTCGTAGCCTCCAAGAAAAAAACAAAGGATTGGTGATATAATTGTAAATTTCTATCCACCTATAATGCTTAGCAGAAATAGAAATGTGCATGGTACTTATTTGTTTTCTGTATTATATATATTATTTATTGAAACTGTCATATCGAATAATGGTATAACATCAAGCAATTTTAATAAAACATAATCAAAAATTAATTTAAATGCAACTCTAAAAACTTGCAACATTTTTACATATATGCAAAAGTGTGGCAACATTAGTACACAATTTTTTTATTCACTGAATATGGGACTTAATATTGACAATTAAATATTTAAGTTTTATACAACGTACTTTTAAATATTTTGTGTGTAAAATAATACATAAAATAAAAACCTATTATAAATGGCAAACTCTTACGACATACCGAGCTGGTAAATAAATAATTTGTGAATGCATAACTTTTGTAAACAAATATTTTTGAAGGGCTGGAAAACCACCAACGGGTCTACATTTGGATGTATTAAAAGAAGATAAGTTGGTGCAAAAACTTATGGTTGATGAAAAGAAGTGTTATTTGTTTGGTCGCAATAATCAGATGAATGATTTTTGTATTGATCATGCATCGTGTTCCAGAGTTCACGCTGCGTTTGTCTACCACAAGCATTTGCATAAGGCGTTTTTAGTAGATTTGGGTTCAAGTAAAAAAAAATTTTTTAATAAACTAAAGAACAAAATAATATTTTATTATAATTGCAGCTCATGGAACTTTTATTGGTACTTTACGTCTTGAACCACACAAGCCTACTCAATTGCAAATAAATAGTACTTTTCATTTTGGCGCTTCTACACGAAATTATATACTACGTGAACGTCCATCGGTTGGAACTATGAATATAATAGAGGATTTACCAACAACAGAAACAATGCTTGGTCTACCTGAAAGTCAAACGGAATTAGATGTATGTAAATAACAAAGTACTTATATATTTATAACGCAATGATTGCTTATAGAATTTAACAGAATATAATACAGCACATAACAGGAGGATATCAATGCTAGGGATAGCAGAAGATAGTTCTAGAAAGGTAACGTAAAATACAACTTATACTTAAATTTATTATTTAGAAATTTTATTTTTAGAATCCTTTAAAACAAAGTAATCGTAAAAAGCGTTGTGTTACATTCAACGATGAAGAAATTATAATAAATCCAGAAGACGTCGATCCAAATGTTGGACGATTTAGAAACTTAATACAAACAACAGTCTTACCACCTAAACGTGCTAGATTTGAAGTGCAAAGTAGTGCTGTTTCAACAAGTGTACCTTCAATTAGTCATCAAATGTTTCAGCATAGATTAAATGAAATGAAGCAACCAACTATCTCCAATATGAACAGTTCTCTTTATCAAGGATTACCATCTGCGCATGACTCACCCAACATGGTTCTTAAACATAGTAGCACTGATTTTGATGTTACCCCAATTGCAATGGGTACAAAATTAGGTTTATTGCTACCTAATCCAGCGCCTGAGGTAACATTAATTAATGAACCTACACCGGTTGCTACACCAACTAAACCTGTGACAAATAGTAAGTAAAAAAAACAATGCTAATAATTTATTGAAAATATTTCTCATTTTTTTTATATAAAAGAAAGTCATTCTCATTCAATAGCCAAATTATTTTCATATTTATTATTTTCTTTTAATAAATACAATTTATTTAAGTATCTTCTTAGGTGATATTCGTTTGTTATAAGTAAAAAACAAATAAGCAAACACTTTTATTTAAAAAATTTATTTACAATTTTTATTTTATTTTCTTTAGCACATCGTTTCGATAATCATTCGATTGTAATGGATGCAACGTCTAATGGTCCACAGAAAAAGAAATACGCAAAGGAAGCCTGGCCAGGTCGCAAGCCAATGTTAGGCCAACTTTAATATTTACTTTGCATACTAATTTTTAGTGAAATAATCAGCATTAAAAAATGTGTGTTTACGTCAATAAAAAAATGTAAGTCTTAGGTTTAAAAATACACTTGCAATTAATTGTTACATATAACATTATTTAAAATTTAATAAAAAAGAACTGACTCAAATATAATAAAAAATACAATATTTTTTAATTTACTTAGCATTGCTATGTAGTGATCTTTATTATAACTTACAGCTATGTGGATATCTTGGAAATGGTATAACATCTCTTATATTCTTGACACCAGTAATTAGCTGTAAATATCTTTCAAAACCCATACCGAAGCCACCAGTTGGTATACCACCAAATTTACGTAACTCTACGTACCACTCTAAACCTTTTGGTAAATCCGGATTTTGCGCTAAACGTTGAGCATCGCTTTCACGTAGACTGCCACCACAAAGTTCACCAACAGTTGGCATTAACAAATCCAAGGCTTCAACAACATCATCATTATTTCTCATAGTTTTCATATAAAATGGTTTTATTGCTTTTGGCCAATTTACAACAAATACTGGTGTATTACAATGGGAAACTAAAAATAATTCTTGCTCTTTAGAGAATCCTTGATTAGGCGTTATAGCTGTTTTGAATTGGTCTTTTTTATTCATAATAATTTTCAACGCCTCATCGTAAGTTAAAGTCGTCCAATTATTCTGAAGTAATTTTAATGTATTAGTATCATATTGCGTTTGGCGTTGACAGTGGATCAAATCATCTTCACTTTTGTTCAGAATTTGTGTAGTGATGGTTTTTATCATCTTTTCTATAAATTGTGTCAGTGCTGATAATTCATCAACAAATGCTAATTCTGCCTCAAGCATAAAAAATTCTGCCAGGTGTAGAGGTGATTTGCAGTTTTCTGCCCGAAATGCTGGTGATAATGTGTACGTATTGCCTAATCCATAGGACATTGCTTCAAGATGAAGTTGACCGGAAACACTAAGAAAAACTTTTTCGTCAAAATAACTCTGTTCGAAGGGTATATCAGGTCTAGACATTTCTTTTAGTAATACTAAGGAATCGGGTCTTACAGTAAAAGTCTGAAATAATATTAATAAATGTTAAATAATAGTATTTGTCCTTCACAGCATACAAACTTACTTCTCCAGCACCTTCGCAATCATTGGTTGACATTATAGGTGTGTCTATTTGCACAAAACCTTCATTGTCCATAAAGTCATGAATTGCTTTTTGGGCTCTGTGCCGCACACGCATTTGTGCCGCCACATAATCTACCCGTGAACGTAAATGCAAATATTCGCGTGCATATTCTGGAGGAAGTTTTTGCTTTGGTGCAAAAGGGTAACCAGTTGTTATATTGCCATGACCTTATAAATTTTAAAACATTTTGTATGAATATATATAATATTAAAGAAATAAAATATGCCACCTATTACATTGACATCATCCGCATTCAATTCAAAGTTACCGTTCGGTGCAATTTGTAGGGTGCCGTTAGCAAATATACTACAACCACTTTGTATATCCTTAGTCAGTTCATTTTTTGCGACAATAACTTGGAATTTACTAGATGAAGAACCATCGTTTATATCCAGGAATATGTTATTCTTCATTCGTCGTACGTTTTTTACCCATCCCTTGAAATGTTGTATAATATAGTTCAGTTAAAATATATTTACATAAATCATACCTTTACTGATAAAGGTTCACCAACTTTACTAGTTTTCGATATTTCATTTATGCGTAATAATTTACTAAAGCCGCGTTTTATTGATAACATTTTTGTTGAGAATTTCGTGTCGGCAAGTTTATGTTTTATAACCTCTTAACAGAAACAGCTGATATAGTTCTCAAAGTTTAATAAGAACTGTAACAATGGATACGACAGTTTAATAGCTACTGCAATTTAATTTATATAATTATTATTTAATTATATATATTTGTACTATTAATTTATATATATTTGTATTAATATACATATATATAATTATTATTTTGTTTAACAGCGAAAGATTTGATTTTATGAAAGTTCTTAGTTTTTAACAAAATATATTAAATAAATTACAAATTACATATATAATTATTATTACATATGTAGCTATAAACAACCATCCAATAGGAGGTATTCTTCGTCGAAAATATGACATCCATCGCTTTAATTATTATACGATTTTAGAGTTTGCGTTCATAGACTTCATATTTAATAACTTCCCTGTGATTTTAACAACTATTTCACTCTCCTTACACATACTTGTTTAAATTGATTTATATACATATTTAAATATTAAATATATTAACATCATTCTTTGTGCTTAATTTAATTCTAATATATTCAATCAAATACGACAACTTTCAATGTTTTCCACTTATTAAATATATATGTAAAATTAACACGAAGAAGAGTACTGACAATCTCTAATATGTACACTCTGTTTGCAAAAGATCTTGATATATGGACGACTTTAACAAAGGACTAGCGTGTCTATTCTGTAGAATTTCAAATAATAGATCATATATACTTTGTTCGCCTTATTTAAAGTATTACTAACAATATTTTATTGATTCGCCTTTAAACCTGACTCTTAAGAGTACCTTATTAATATAAACTTGTGAATGTGGACAAAATTCGTTGACACTGTTTTTCTTTGGAAAGTTGCATTCACAAGAAATGTTGCGAAAAATATTAATAAACATTTTTGGTTGCTAGATTTTTAAGCAACATGTATACAACGCATTGATTTATTGAAATCATGTTGGTACTTTTCTCTCCATAAGATTTTAAGATTTTATAGTACATATTACCTTTTAAACCTTTTTTTTACAATATTTATAATTTATTAAATGTGTTTAGAAGAATGAGGCGATAATATAAAAATAGTTCACTTGCGCGTTAGTTAATCGTAAAGGATGAATATTCTAGATGGTCAGTAAACATGTTTTCCAGTATAAAAGCTCAATCAAAATTTCTGCATTAATTAGACTATCACTAGCATATCTAATAATCTTTCATTAGAACACAAATTCTTTTAGATTAATATGATCACTCCAAAATCTCTGTCTTCATCCGGGAGATTATTAAACACACTTCGCCAAGTTGATTCTTTATGGATTATGTATTAGAAAAAATTTACATTAAGAATTCTAACAAACAAAAATATAAGCAAAATATAATATAATAAATATTATATGTAATTATATATAATATAATTTAATGCTGTACATAATATTTTCATTTTATATTCATATGTGCATACTACTATATAATTTATGTCTGTATAAATCATTAGTTTTTTTAAAAAATGTTCACAAAATAACTATAATTTAGCATAATAAGACTCGTGTACGATCATATCCTTGTTTATGTCATTTAAAGTTTGGCATCCTGTGAGGGCAAGCGTTATTTCAAAATCATTCTTTAAAACTGATAGCATATCTTCGACGCCCTTCTGTCCACCACATGCCAAACCCCATAAGGCAGGACGTCCCACAAATACCATCTTAGCACCCAATGCTAAAGCAGTAAAAATATCGTTACCTTGCATAATGCCACCATCCAGCATTACTAACATATCATGACCTACAGCTTTTACAACTTCTGGTAAAGCTTCAATGGAAGCCGGCACGCAATCTAACTGTCTTGCTCCATGGTTTGAGACAATAATACCAGCACAACCAAATTCTCGTGCCAACACAGCATCCTCCCGTGTTAAGACACCTTTAACTATAACAGGTAAATATGTGCTTTTGATCAGCCATTCTACATCTTTCCATGTTAAAGTAGCATCAAATTGACTAGACACATATTCATTTATGCCAGATTTACCAGTATACATCTCGCTGCGAACCCCTTCAGATTGTATGCCTTCAAAGTTACCCAAACACAAATGGGAGGGTAAACTAAATTTATTTCGTACATCGGAGCGACGTTGTCCGAAAATAGGTGCATCAATTGTTAAAACTAATGCTTTAAAGCCCGCCTTTTCAGCACGTCGTACTAATTGCTCAGTTAGAGACCTACCAAATTAAAATTTTAGTTATTGTTTATTTTTAAAAAATATATATAACGTATTTTGTTAAAAAATAGCTATTAGCATCAGTACCTATCTTTATATACATATAACTGGAACCACTTGCAGGTATTTGGTGCGGCAGTAGCTACTTCTTCAATAGAAGTCGTAGACAGAGTACTTAATATAAATACAGATCCAGCACTACCTGCTGCACGAGCATTTCCACATTCACCCTCGGGATGTGCCAATTTTTGCATTGCAGTTGGTGCTATGCCTAAAGGCCATTTCAGATTTTCGCCCAAAATTTTGCAGCCCATATTCATTTTAGAAACATCACGTAAAAATCGAGGACGTATACGCCATCTTATATAAGAAATATATTTAATGAATTATAATTTCTGTCGAAGACAAAATTAATTACTTTTTGAATGCTTCACGGTTCAAATTTAAAGTGAATTGTTCTCCAGCGCCACTGCGATAATAATCTAGAGCGAATTTCTCAATAACTGTGTGGGCTTTCTTTTCGAAATCTTCCACACAAACTAAAGCCATTTTTAACCGACAATTGCTTGCTATCACTTGAAGAGGTGATGAGAAACTAATTTAGATTCAAATTGAAACTGTTTTGTCTGTCCAAAGAATAATCTACTGATAACAGGATTACATGACCATAAGTACTTTAGACATATAGACACCATTATAAAGAGCAATTATAATCAAGATAAGCTTATCATTTGAAAATCATTAAACTATCTTCACAATTAGCAAAGATGCATTGTAATTTTGTATAACATTTTTATTAGATAATAATATTATAATCAGCTAAACAATCGAATAACAAATGTTATTTTGATTTGTAAATTTCAAAAAATGCTAGAAATAAGAAATAAGTGATTTAAAAGCTTGATGATTTAGTCGAAATCCGATTAATTCGTATCGCATTATGAAGCAATGTACTTTTGTTTATTCATTAATGTATATATAAATAGATATATACATATACATAATAATACATCAGATAATTATTCTGCTGAAGATGGATGATGTCTTAAAATTTTGTTTTTCAAGTTATGATTTAATATATATAACTTTAATACCGCGCGGCATAATCTGATATATTATATATTTTATAATTAAAAAAAATAGTTACGTTCAGAATTATCACAATTCTTATTTGTACAATTATGTTAAAACCGATGAAAAATCATATTTATTTATTGTAGCATTTATTATTTTTGATTCATATGAAGCAGAAATCATAATCTCATATAAATGAATATTTTGAAAGAAACTATACTTAACAAATACGAAGCCAAGCCAAAGCTTTGCAGATGGCGACCGGCTGGCATTGCTTGTCGAATGTTGACATCTTCCATGAAGAACCTAAAATGCTGCTTGTAAAAGAGCATAAACAAATCTACTGTCTAAGCAATATCTTATTGCCTGCAACAAAAATGGTAAATCTAATGTCATCAGATTCATTAGAGCCTTCGATTTAGGATGCATTGCTCGATCCCTTTCTTCAACTTATATATCATGACGTCTTTTGCAATAAAGCAAACATCAATGAGGTCGAATGCAAAGGTGGACTAGCAGTTCTTCACACAGATGCAATATCGTTTTCGAGACATTTACATAACAACAAATTTCCACCTAAAATCTTTCGGGAAGAACGACTTCTTCCACGCGTAGAAAAATTGTCGTAACCAATTGAGGTCAGGATATAGCCATATGGTAAACAGTTACTTGTCACGCATAAATGCGACAAATTATTAATGTTTACCCTAACATAGGCAGATGTCGCCCATGTGTTCTCATGTCATAATAAATACACCAACTTGAGTCAAATTGATGTTTGGCTTCGTGCCTTTAAACTGGCCAGGTTACTCCGCCTTGATCCAGGTTAGCTTCAATTAAAATTCCATCCTTTTTCAATCCATTCTTGTTCCCAAAGTATTCACTTTTATTCAATCCTTCCTTTACCTAACCACATCCTAAACCATTTATACGTATTTGTAACTATTTTCATGTTATGTGTTATCTCCGAGGTTACAACAATAATATATTTCTAATACTATCCACACAATAAGAAATATTTAATTTAAACAAATACAGGATTTACATTAAATGATTTCCAAATTTGTAATACATACTACAAACTAACTAAACAAATTCTTGAATACAAAATTATTTAAGTATAAGTTTTTTTCAAATGATGAGTATAAAGTAAATTGAAGTGTAAAATAAGAGATGATCACATAAATTGTGAATATCGTTCACAATACATTTTTATTATACCATTTAAATTTATAAAAGCGATTTGTGAAATCATATAACCAAATTAAAATTATAAGTTTAGTTAAAGTTAATATTTTAAATTTCATTATCACTATCATCTTCGCTTTTAGCTGCTTTGCCAGCTTCTTCAGCTAGAAGCACCCATTTCGGCGGATTAAGAGTATGCAACGAGTTTGTTTCCTTACCTACTACACCAAGTTCAAAAACGAAATCCTTATCCTTCAGTTCATCGTGCACTTGGTATATGCTAAAATAATAAGTAAAAAAATAATATATATCTAGTTGGATATTTTATTTTGATTTTACATACATTTTGCCGGCATGTATGATCAAATCCTCCGTAGACATATCTTTAAATGTATACTTTTCCATTTCGGTTTTTGCTTGTTGCTTTGCTTTACCAGTAGCACAAGCTAAGTAACCAAATGAGGTACCAGCTGGTTCTATTTTATACAATTGTGGTCCATGCAAATCGTCATAAGCAGCAAAAATAACTGAAACTCCAAATGGACGAACAGCACTATAAAGTGTGTATGCATGCATATAAGCTGCAACGCGTTCAACTAACTCTTTGAGCGGTATAGTGCGATTTAAATTATTTCTATACCGTTTAGCTTCTGATCTAGCTATTTCGACCAATTGACGTCCATCAGCTAACAAACCAGCAAAAACACACCCAATATTTTGATCAATGGTATATACTCGTCCGCCTGAATTATCCTCATATAGTTTGCTGGTAATAAGTTTTTCTGCGGCAAGTACAACACAATCTTTGCCTCTTAAACCGATAACGGTACCACTTCGTTCAAGTGCCTTGCTTGCGTAGTCAATCTGAAATACTCGTCCATCGGGAGAAAATTGAGACGCTGACAAATCGTACTAAATAAATGAGAAGTATTATTTTAAAATAATGTTAAACAGTCCGTATATTTATTTAATACGTACACCTGTGCCTATTGAGCTCATTCTGTGTATTTATTTAACAAACTTATGTGTGATACAACTTAATTTATAAATCAGTCGCTACGACCTGCAAAATGTTTGGACGATGATTTGACGGCTTTTGTTATTTGTGTTTAAGGTTAGGTACTTTAAAACTGACACAAAATTTTGACTTTTCATTGCAAGCAAGTTGCCAGATTAATTATATGCCACGAGCATAATTGCAAGTTTATAAATATATTTTCATGAAACCATAAAAAACGGAGGAATTTTAATATAAAAAAAAAATGTTATGTATGCATATTCAAATAAAGATATTTAATATATTATAGTTAAATTAATCTCAACAAATATAATAACTCCTTGGAGTTATAGTATTAAAATTTAATAAAAATTTAATAAATAATATTGAATAAAAATATATTATGAAATAACAATACATACTGATATATATCAATAGATATAAGTAGATATACAATAAATGATAGTTTCGCAATTTTACTCGAACCGTTAATATTTATTAAAATAATGATATTAATATTGACAGATGTTACATCTGAATTAAATAATATTCAGTTTTAAATAAAAAGGGAGGGTACAATATATGTAAATATGTAGCTATGATTAATGTGATATATTTTTCATATTAATAAAATAAAATTTCAAAATATTATTATTACATATAAATTTATGGAATAATATATGAATAGAAAAATTCATTCACCATTCCAAAGTCGCCTGAACTAATTGTGGAGTAACATTAGTATGGCTTTCTTCGTATTAGGTTCCCAGGTTAGGTTCTATACACAAGAAAGAATAATAAAATCATGCAATAAATAATGCCTCTACAAAAGAATAGTATTGAAATTTAACAATTAAAAATAAAAATGTAACTTATTAATTCAATTACTCTACACCTGTTTTATGATTTCGTTTTAATATAACACAGCTAATAAATTTGTTAATGAACTTTCGCAGCAAATGAATAAAACTCCAATTCGAACACACAAGTTAAGAACGGTTTTGGGTCAGTTAGATAACGAACACAAACTCTGACCTTCAAATTGGACAGGGCACTAGTTTAACCCTTGATGTTTGCAATCTCAAAAAATTAAATATAAGAAATAATTCCAAGACTCATGATGATGGGTATTTGGCAATACTGGAAACAGCTGTATGGTCAACCAAAAATTGAATTAATTAATGAAATAATAAAATTTTATTGAAATTATACCAATTTATTATTATTAGTAATACCTCTCTATTCAAAACAATAGTTTCTTTCGTCGAAACGGACGTTAAAACTCAATTTAATATAAATTTATATATAAAAACGCTTCACAATTATGGTATATGCAATAAATGTTCGGACTATTTTTTACAGTGTAGTTGAGTTGAACATAACAGCACATAGCAGATGCTTTAACAGCAGTGTTAGTTTTATTTGGCACAAGTTCACACGCGGTTGGTTTCAAATTTATTTATAAACAATTCGGCAATTTTTAATATATAATGACAACAAATATTTTGGAGAAGAGGTAATTATTTAATACACAAAATCAAATCGATAGATATAATTGTCTAACATCAAACGTTTTCAGCTTTGCTGTAGGGTCACGTTTTTCTAACTTCTATGCTGGAGGTGATGTTGCGTGGTCAAAAGATGGTAAACACATTTATTGTCTCAATTCTTCGGAAGTTTGTTGTATTGACGTTGCCACTGGGCAAGTAAACCAAATTTATGGTACAAAAGCTGACACAATTAAAGACAATGAATCCTCTAAGCTAAATGTAACAGAACTAGATGAGGTTGATGAAGACATAATTTACACATTTGCGCTTGCATCAACTAATGATTATCTTGTGACAGCCCATCGCAGTGGATTAATACGGCTATGGTCTTTGGATAGTTCTAAAATAATAAAAATATGGAAATCACAACATCGGGCGCCAGTTGTTAAGGTAACATTTAGCGCTTGCGGGAAATTAATATGTACAAGTGGTGCTGATTCTACATTACGTGTATGGGATTTTCTTAACAGTCGATGTTTATGTGTTTTGAAGGATTTTCAAGGACCTGCACTATTATTAAGCTTTCATTCAAATTCAAATATAGCTGAAATATACGCTGCAGGTGCTGATAACACGATATATTGCTGGAATTATGAGACCAAGGCACTAGTGCGCACATTACGTGGACACATATCTCAAGTAACTGGTTTTTGTTTTGAGAATGACAATGAGGCATGTAATTACTTGGTAACTGCAAGTCGAGACAAGGTGTTGATTATTTGGCAGCTTGATACATCTACACAGTATAAAACCATTCCAATGTTTGAAGAATTAGAAGGTGCTTTCTTTTTACCAAGTACAAAACCTGATGTTCAAAAAGTATTGGTGGCAACAACAAATGGAAATCTAAAATTAGTTAGTTGCAAAACCGGAAAAATAATCAGTTTAAATGCAAGAGAAAATTACGAAATTAGATTATTTCTACGTTGTCCAGAAACTCATGAATTGGCCATAGTTACTGCTGAACACAACATTCTTATATATAAAATTGTTTCTAAAGATCAATTAGACTGCACTAAGCAATTAATTGGATTTAACGATGAAATATTAGATTTATGCTTTCTTGGAGATAACGATCGTTTTCTAGCTGTGGCTACTAATAGTAAAAACATAAAAATATACGACACTGAATCAAATATGAATTGCAAAATAATTGCTGGTCATAAGGACACAGTTATGGCGTTATCGGCAACGGGCAACAGCAATTTATTACTTTCCGCTGGCAAAGACTATGCTATTAATGTATGGAAACTCGATCCTGACTCTTTCACAATGACTTCTGTAGCTTCTAATTTAAATGGTCACACGGCAACGATTGGTTGTATATCGTTTGGATTTAATAGTTCGTCAGTATTTGCCTCAGTTTGCCAAAGTGGTACTTTAAAAGTTTGGAATTTAAATGTGGATAAAAAAAAGGAGTACAATTTTGTTATAAAGTATTCGGCGCTTGCACATGAAAAGGAAGTTAATTCCGTAACATTTTCTCCAAACAATAAAATGATTGCTACTGCTTCGCAAGATAAAACCGCAAAATTATGGAGCTCTGAAACTCAAGCAGTTGTAGGTACATTGCGTGGCCATACACGCGGTGTTTGGTGTGTTCGCTTCTCACCCGTAGATCAGATTGCATTAACATCGTCTAGTGACTGCAGTTTACGAATATGGTCACTTGCAAATATGTCCTGCTTAAAACGACTTGAACAGGAATGCACTGCACTGCGCGCCGAATTTATTGATCATGGGAAATATATAGTGTCCTCTTCTTCTGATGGTCTTATTAAAATTTGGAGCATAAAAAATAATTGCTGTATTCAAACACTAGACGAGCACACAGATCGTGTTTGGGCATTAGCTGTATCGAATCGCAGTAAAAAATATTTCTACAGTGGTGGGGCAGATTCTAAAATAGTAAAATGGCAAGATGTCACAGAAGAAAACCGTAACTCTGAAATGGACAAACGCCAAGCGATGGTTCAGGAAGAACAGACGCTGCAGTCTTTATTACATGCCCATAAGAATATGCATAAAGCTTTTGTTTTAGCATTGAGACTTGACAAACCTAAAACAACGTACAATATTCTGAGTGACTTTATACGTAATCGAAACACAGCAGCGATAGAAAAACTTATAACAGAATTAAATAATGACCAGAGAGGAACTTTACTAGGGCACGTCAAGGCGTGGGGCACAAATTCGAGACATGCAAGTGTATCTAATATAACACTGCGTTATCTTTTAACAGATCTGATAGCTCATCCAAATCAGCGTACATACAATACGAGCAACATGGTCGAAGTTATTACGCCTTATACTCAGCGACATTTCAATCGGGCAACGGAGTTGAAAAATGAGCTTTGTTTTTTGGAATTTATTGTTAATTGTATATAAATCAATTCTAATAATAGTTAATAATAATTTTTTGACGTGTTGAATATAAGACCAGATTTGCAAATGTATAGTTTGTTAAGTAATATTTTTATACATATTCTATATGGTTCACTTTCTTTGAATCTTTAGTAAAAGTGTATTGAATAAAGATAAATTGGAATAAAACTTCAGCACCTTATTTATTCATGTTTTTCAATATATGGACGCGTGTCTAGAAAGTAAAGTCTTAAAATTATGGAACTTTTCTGTGTTTTCTGTATTAGCAGAGTAAGAAAGATTTTTAATAAAATCTACTAATATCCCCAGAAAAGCTAAAGTGAGTATAAAATAAAAATAAATTTGTAGCAAAAATTTGATTGTTTTATTCTAGAAATATTTTCTAGAAGAATGAACTTAAGTAACTGATTTTGGTGTGTATGTATCAGAATTCTATTCGAAACGATAATATTACAGAGTGATAAATGGGTAAATGAGAGAAGCAATCATTACTCAACAGAATCTACCAAGTACTGCTTGGTCTTATGCCCTAGTGACAACTCAACTCCACATGATGTTGTCCATCTGTTTCCATGTCCAAACTTACACATAAATCTGTATTCTATTGATGTATGACTGCGTCTCAGGTTATGTTTAGCATATTAACCTAATTCCACATTCTATCTCCAACATTTAAACCCAATTTTTCCATAATCTCTCTGATGATCTAGCTTATTTTAAAAAATTGTATTTGGAAGAGAACATTAATAAGTAGCGATGTAAGAACCGTAACTCCTCCAGAATTTTAGACAATATTGGCGTAAAATAATAGGCGGAGTATATTAGTTAATTTCCCGAGTGGAGCTTATCGTCTTTAACAGTGGAGTATCTCTAGTATCTCATGTGTTTCAAATAATTAGTTAGCTAAATAAAGGAATTAGAATCTGAATAAAAAAAAACTAAATTAACACCATTACTTATGTCTGTTTTTGTTTAAGATAATTTTTACTATATATTTTATTATACACATATGTATATATAAATGATATATTGAACGGGAAGCTGTTATATAACCAAATAATTCTACCGTCATTTGTAGCGTTTGTAGGTTTAGCAAAGCCTCAAACATTACTATTCGCCAGCTAGAAATTGCACAAAGCCAGGCTCTGACAAGACTTTTCAAGGTACCATGGTACATTAGGACCAATGACATCATCAGGGACCTCAAGATTGATCTGATCAAATAATACGTAAAGGATATAACCCTGAAATTATTTACGAAAACTGACAGGCTTGCCAACACCGCGTTATCGAATCTTAGAATGGTTACAGGCTCTTCAGGGAGGAATGCAGTTATTGTTTAGTTTGATGAAGTGATAAACAATAATCCAGTCAAGGTGTAAAGAGGGGTTATGAAGAAACTTCATAGTTAAAAGAGAGTAAAAGTGTTTCAGTGCACTGACTCAACTAGCCTCAACATAATATAATAACAAGAGAGATTGTAACAATAAGTAAAACCTTAAGAAATTATAAAAAAATTTTTTATTAATTTTTATAGTACACTTACGGCATAACACTTAACATTACATACATACATATAATTACAATTTCATAACAGATTAATATATATAAATTATTTCAAAATAACATAGTTTCACATTTAAATGTCTTGTGCGTGTAATTATAATTTAAAAACAATTTCTAACTGTTTAAATATATTACATATATGTTCAGAGTAATACATTAATTATAAATATCCTCAAAACACGCTATGTAAAATCTAACTATAAAATTTATTTTAATATATTCCTTTTTCACATCTTAAATGTCTTCTACATGATAGGATAAAAACGTTTTAAACAAACTTCACAAATTCACAGTAACAATTCTTTTACAATTCTTACTCCACAGTCATTAGCAAGTCATCACCTTCCAATTTCATGCCATTGGTTATTTCAAGTTTCTTCACAACACCAGCTTTCGGTGCTTGAACAACCATTTCCATTTTCATGGCCGATAGCACTACTAATGGCTGCCCTTTTTCTACTTTGTCTCCTTCCTTTACTCGTATGTCAATCACTGTGCCGGGCATGGGAGCGCCAACTTCGCTTTTATTGGTCTTCGAGGCTTTGGGATGTATGTGCAATTCCTATAAAAACAGAATTGTGTATTAGAAAATTTAATACGATTCAACAAAATTTTACCTTAACAGCTTCCTTATCACGTATCAGCACTGAACGTAATTGGCCATTCATTTCAAAGAATACTTCACGTTCTCCGTTTGGTGTTAAATCTTCAGCCATGGCTAATGTTTTCAAACTTAAGGTTTTACCTTTCTCCAATTTAACTTCGAACTCTTCTCCAACTTTGGGACCAGTTAAGAAAATACGTGTATCTAATTTGTCTACTGGACCATAACTCTCTCGGAAGAACAAATAATCATTTGTAACTGCAGGGTACAAGGCAGCTGACATAACATCACGATCTGATACATGTGGGTGAGATTCCTTTAACTCTTTCTTAAGTTTTTCAAAATCAAGAGATTCCAAATTTGCACCAGGACGTCCTTCGATCCGTGGCATATCTTTCAAGACACGAGAGCGTAAGGGTTCAGGGAAACCACCATGTGGTGTACCAATTGAGCCTTGTAAATATTCTACTACTGATTTGGGAAATGAGAGTTCTTCGGCCTTTTCTAATACTTGATCGGCTGTTAATTTGTTTTGCACCATAAATTGTGCCAAATCACCAACAACTTTTGATGATGGCGTTACCTTAATGATGTCTCCCAGCAACAAATTAGCTTCCCGATAAGCTTTTTTGACATCCTCAAAGAAATCACCCAAGCCGAGCGAAAATGCTTGGAATTGCAAGTTTGTATATTGACCACCAGGAATTTCATTTAAATAAACATCAGCATTGCCTGATTTCATGGTAGTTGTGCACTCGAATGGGGCATACAATGTACGTGCCTGCTCCCAGTAAGCTGAATATTCGGACACATCGCGCAAGTCCAAATTGGTATCAAGTGCGGTACCTTGTAGTGAAGCAACTACTGCACCCATACTTGGCTGCGAAGTCATGCCGGACATAGAATCGACGGCAACATCTACAACATCGGCACCAGCTTCAGCGCAAGCTAACATAGAAGCTACACCAGCACCTGAGGTATCGTGTGTATGTATATGAATTGGCACATCTGGATGCTTTTCACGTATAGCGCTTATAAGCAATCTAAATATAAAATTAGTGTGTTTTTATTAATATTTTTTTAAATAAAATTAATATTAAGATTCGTACTTGGCAGCTTGAGGTTTCAATAGACCAGCCATATCCTTAATGCAAAGAACATGTGTACCTGCTTTAACTAGTTCATCAGCCAGATTAGTGTAGTATTTAAGATCATATTTGGTACGTCTGGGATCACTGACATCACCTGTATACGAAATCGCCGCTTCTACAACACCACCAGCCTTACCGGCAGCTTCCATACCCAAAATTAAATTTGGCAAATAGTTGAGTGAATCGAATACTCTAAAGATATCCATGCCAGTTTGAACCTAAAAGTAAAAACAAATATAAGTATTTTACAGCGATATCTATGGTATATAAAACTTTAATTTACATAGTAACGTAATACCTTATCTTATAAATTATTATTTTATAATAATAAATTAAAAACAACTGTGACAATATAAATAAGTTTGTAGCTAAACTTAGCGACGAATAGTAAGATCTGATTAAAAAAAATTTAAAATGTTATTGCTCTATTTAACTGTATCATGTTATTTTTATAGATCGGAGCACTATCCAGACACTTGGCGTTATTTGATTAGTAATCTCAGTGTATGAATTTCTACTAAGATTCATTTTTAATTTTTATTTCACTTTTTTAAATTATTATGGGCTAACTTAATTATATTACTGCCTCAAATGTAGTTTGTAGATAGATGGATGTATTAACTACATCCATCTATCTTTTTTGCTCGTATCCTAGGACTGCCAGCAAACAAACTCAGTGCCTTCAGCTGAACTAATCAGACGAATAGAGATCTGGAAACTTGAAGTTTCCGGTTTTTTACTGTTCATCAGTAGCCGTCGTATATATTCGGAATAGTTTAAAAGACTTTCACTACCATTGTATCTATTTTTAACAACAATGTCGAGTTCGTAGTGACTCTGGTTGTTATATTCTAATGGTATGTAAATATATACTCCAAGAGAAACGAATGCTATATTTAAACCTAAAATGTATAATATATCCTGGTAATTTTATCACCTTTGGTCAGCACTAAATGCGAAAAGAAAATATCACCATACCGATCAGTCAAAGCGTTATATTGAATCTCTTCCCACGATTTAAATTACTGATGTTCGGCTTGATTAGATCGTATCTGAGTTGTGCTAGGACAGCCATATCTATGTGATGATTATGGTTTTCTTTAAAGTGACCTGTTAATGATTTTTGATTCTTCTTTATGAAGCTATCTTCTATCTGCAGCCAATTTCTTCTCTTAATGTTAACTTCTACAGGTTCGCATACTGTCATACTGGAGAAATCATTGTTCGATTCTTGGTTCTTGACCAAAAATTATTGCATATGTGGCGTTGCCACTTTAATGCTAAATGATGAAGGTTATGGTGAAAGCATTTTGCAATCTTTTAATTTCTTAATGAAGAGAGCATAATTGTTTTGAGTTTTCATTTGATGGCATTCTATATTCTACATAATATGTATTTAAAATTTGTAAATGTTCCACACAATATTGATATCTAAACTTTTTTTTGGGCAAAAGTATATGTTAAGATACTATATAAAATATATATAAAAAAAAATGTACTATTTTATGTACAATATCTTTATGTAAACATACCGCTAAGTCGCAAAATTTGTACACAACATTATCCGGGTAGCTGGTATAACCGACAGCATTAGCACCACGTAACAACATTTGGAAAGGTATATTTGGTATCTGTTTACGCATTTCTTCCAATCGTTCCCATGGACATTCATGCAAGAAACG